CACCGAGACAGATATTCCTTCAGTGCAGAGTGCACAAGAGCAATACAGAGCCTCCCTTGAGTCCTAAGGTAGATCATGTAGCCAGTGGAAAGAACACAGTTTAAAAAAAGTATAACGTCTACCCTGAGCGAGGATGCTGGGAACTATAATTATAGCTTGGTATAATTCAGACACTCTCCTTATTGAATCTTCATGTTTTAGTTAATGTGATGAGATCATCGACACCAGATCACTCGTGTTTACCAGCGGATGAATTTCACTGCTTGTCCTTCAAGTGGCAGCCTGAGCAGTGCTGATGCTGCTCGCCGAGGTAGCGTGGCACGCCACACCATGGCCCCGGTAATTAAAACATTTAAAGCAGAGCCAGCCCCCCTGTGCTCCCGGGGTGTGATATGGGGGTCACGCGCCTGTAGATTCTAATTTGCGCACCATTTGTATTCATGACAGGCACATGCTAAATATTTAACAGCAGCCCGGCAGGAGTTTTGTATTGTTAGGCTTTCCAGGTCAAATAATTTGATTTCAAGGCAGATTACATTAAGCGTCAATGTCCAAGCCACCACTCTCACTTGCCTCTCATTTCCTGTCTTTTATTACAGCCGAGATAGGCCAGAACTGAAGGGATATGGTTTTGGATTATACAAGAGCTTGTTATCCATGGATTAGTTATTATTTTCAATTAGAAAAGGGATCACATCATTTATTACGGACGCACACACCCACAAAGGTATTGCATGCAGACGCTTGCATGCCGAGCGGAAATTTTAGCTGACTGACAAATTGTTTAGCAGAGCACGTAATTATACCTAACAAGAGAAATATTATTTCAAACAAATGATGGTGCAGGCACACACACCATTAATGATATTTCACTTATACTGATTGTCCTTGACGGAGGCATCCTACAGCTGGTGAGGATGTATGTTCTCACTCTTTTTTCTATAATTTGAACAAGTTAAGCGAGAAACCAAATCCAGCCATTTTATGTTTCAGCCGAGGCCCTGTGGTGATTGACAACAGAGCTAGTTAAACGGTGATGAGGCGTTAATGGATGCTAGGTCGAGGAAGTGAGGGGGTGGGGGGGCGAGCTGGAGGGGGCCTGCAGCTGAATATTTAATGGTCATATAATTCCTGAACACAGACACACACAGACAGGTACACACCCAACCCGTGACCTGTCCTACACACTGCGTAATTAGGGAAACAGTCCTTTCGTTTAACTGCCAAAAGAGCAAACTGTAGGTATATATTCCCCTAATGATATGGGTTAAAGAGCTATTATACGTCTCATTAAAATATATGATCTCCCAATCTGGTGGTGGTTTTGAGGTAATGGGGACAGAGCAGCATAAGGGCTAAAATACCATCCACAGGCTATAGGCTAGTGTCCAATGCATATCTACATAATTCTGTATGTCAGCGTGTGGCTGCACAAATGAAAAGAAGTTTCTGTCAGTGCCTCATGAACGACACACAGGACTCAAAATCTTCACTAGACGACAGTGCTTAGAGTGTGTGTTTAGGGCCTTTTGAAGCAGCATGTGAGTGTGTAGGAATGAATTGGGGTTATCAAGCATTTGACACCAATTTTCATGCCAACTACTTACATTTCTCTTTAAGTATATAAAGAGAAGCTGGAATTAACACAAGGTCTTCAGAAAGGCTAATGAGGCCTAGATTGATGACAAACTTGATTACACACTTAAGCGCGCACACACCCAATCCCTGACACCACAGTAATTGATACAATATTAGAGAGTAGGGTATAATGCAGATGACACAGCTGACATTTCTCTTCTCTCAACATATGTTAAATTCTCTCTAGTAACATCTGGCTATTAACCTTTGTCATTCCCAGTTCAGCTGAAAAAACACCTGCACATACACAAACTGTATATGCATAGTGAAATAAACAAGTAAATAAAAAACTAAAAGAAATAGTAAGAAACATAATAGCAGGGATGAACTTAAATCTTTATTAAAAAAATGATAAGGTTTACTTTAATAAACTATAACAACACATATGTATTTTCCAAAAGGTTAGACTATTAATTAATTGGTGGCTCAATGGAAAATATATTCTATTCTGAAAATCAGTTTTGAGGATTTCATGTTTTTTTCTTGTCATATATGACAGCAAACTGAATATCTGTGGGTTATTTTGTTTGGATAAAACAAATAATTTGAATATGCAAATCACAGACAGACTTGACAGTACTAAAACACAAAGCAGGTATTCTGATGTACAGGCAGGTATAATAGTGTCCACGAGAAAGGGAATGAATGGGTAAGTTTAGGTTGGTATGAAATTCATAATGTCTGTAATTTGATATATTTGGTTTATTACGTACAGTAATACCACTCACCACGACTTATATGTTGCCTCCAGTAAAGTGCCAGCTGACACTACAGTCCACACAAATAGACGGTGTTACACTGGCAGTCAGTTCTTCTCATTATAGCTGGATATACTATGTTAGCTAAAAGCCTCCTGGGCACACAAACAACATCTCTCAGCTTTAATAGCCTAAACAAGGCATGCTACTAACAAAGGAATCATCCGCCCCTCTCATTCTCACACCCTTTCATATCACATTTCCTTTTTCAACCACTAGCATCATCTGGCTGCCCTTAACCAGAGAGCCAAACACTCCTTTTAAGTGGAGACTACTTTGTTAACTGATGACCACGGGGCCAGTTATTGATCCTCTTCTTTCTCTATCTCAGTAAACACTGCTGATAAAAATCCCTCTCTTCTCGCAGGGTTCCACAGTATGCAGCCATAGTTTGCTACAATAATAGCTTGCATATCATAGCATCCACATGAATCAGATCTCAGTGGTTTCGATTAGGACAAAACTAACTCAAACACATTGCCAGTCTTGGATGTGAATCTATTTATGAACGAAGAGTGTAGGTGGTAGTGTTCTTCACTTCTCCACTCCATTCTCTTTAAAGGTTTTCTCATTTCACTTGACTTAACGGTTCAAGTGTAAACTTTCTAGTTGTGTTGACCTCTAAGAGGCCCTGCGGGGAATAAAAAGACTCCTGTTGATCTGCTGTTTAGCAGCAGCAGTGGCCCACCTCCTCCATTTTAGTTGTGCTGGGAGAAAGGGCAGATGAGGATGGAGCTGGCTGACTCTGCTTGTGTGTATGTGTTTGCTTGTATGTATTTGCGACAGTGCCACTGGCTTCTCTCAGTACCAAAGCAAGGGTAAGTCATCGGGGCCACTTTGTCGAGCTTCTCTGATCGCACTTCATGTATCTCTGTGCAGGGAAAGGAATAAAATGATCGTCCTTGAAGGCAGCGCCTGCACAGCACGCAGTACTCCACTGCTCCACTACACAATCAAGCACAACACCTTCTTTCACACAGAACGAACAGTTGGAGTGAGGCTTTGAGCAAAGGGGAGAAAGAGTCAACTGATTCCAAAGTATGAACTTTGCTTAAGAAAGCTATTTGACTGGGAGCCTTGCTCTGTTGCCCCAAGCAAGGCACTTAGTCACCACTTTGGCAAGGCTTCCACACAGAGAGGAGAGAAGCAGGAGAAGACACAGAGAAGAGGTTAGGAGAGAGGTGGAAGTGGTTGATGAGGACAAATGGAGGTGGGAAGAAAGAGAGTATGTAAGACAGAAAGTAGGAGGAGAAAACAGAAAGGGAAAGGAGGAAGAGACTGAGCGCTAAGACCAAGAAAAATGAATAATAATAATATGAGAATGGCAGAGAGGCTGGAAAAAAAAACCAAAACCAAAAACAAAACAGGGTGCAATAGAGAGAAGGATGGAATAAATTCTTCCCAGAACTGGAGGACCAAAGCAAGAGTGCAAGGCTAATTAGTTTCTGATGGCTGGACTTTCATTTGGCTAAAAGGTCAGCTAACTTTAAAGGTCACGCTGACATGCCTGCTCGATCCAAACACAAAAAAATTACACAAAAAGAGGAGAGAGAGTGTCCAGCAATATAAAAACACCCACACTAGAACAAATTATGCTACTACACATGTCTGTGTGTGCATGTACATACACACAGTGTAGTTGATAACAGCATATTTGATATTCTCATTTATATCATGCTCTGGTCAGAGCAGCGACCAGGGTCATTATTCTATCTAACGACATTTATTACTGCAAGCATATCTACTGCAAATTACTCTTGACTTTATTTGAATGTGTATCGAGATAATCATTGTGTGTACAGTATGTGTGTGCATCTGCGTGTCCTATGTTGGTGGTGGTGGCAGTGGTGATGGTGGTTAGGGGGAGGAGGTTCAGGATGGCAAGATAAATTTACTACCTGCAATGCTAAGCACATTTCTGCCTGACACATCTACTATGCATCTTTATGTATATTACAGCTGTCTTAATAAAAACTGTGTAATCAGCATCTCTGAGTTCATGTTTCGCAAAGTGTAGATGAAATGCGAAAGTAGAATTGTTGTTTACAAGAAAGGGGGGCATACGTAAAGTTGTTCATCTGTTAATGTAAACATATTCGATGAGTTAAAATGTGTAAAACCATTGACGTTGCAGAAGGTGTAGGGACTACCTGACATAAGAAAGAAACTAAAACTAATTCCCATATTTTGTGTTTTTGCACTTTCCATTTCAACTGTTGGCTCATATTTGTGTTACACACATAACAAGTTTGCCTTTTGTTTTCATCAGACAGACATGCTCCTCTTGATTTAAGAGAGCCATGTAAAAAAACATAAGTTGTGCAACAGATGTCTTACAGTGTAAATTTTTTTTTTTTTTTGTATTTTGTGTTCCCACTCAATCATAACATCGCCAGTTATTTGACGGAGAATAAAATATAAAACAGAGCTACAGTTTCAACTGTTTTCTTGCCAACAACTTTAATGTTGCAATTTCTGTTACATTTTATGGTTCATGCTTTGCTCTTTGTTTTACTTTGTGACTGTCTTGTCAGTTTAAAACTACTCTGGCAAAGGTGCTAAAGTCCACATGTTGGATCTATGACAGACACACACATAACTCACCTTCTTCTAATTTCTTCCGGGCCTCCTCCTCTCTCTTGGCTACTTTGGCCCTCAGCACCTCATCCGTCTTAGCTGAAAAGAAACACAGCAGACGACGAAGTTAGGAGCAAAGCAGAACATCAGGAACCCTTCACAATGGTTTTATTATAGAAAATAATTATAAAATATAAATATTAAGGCATTAATCAATAAATTATATTCAAATTATTATTTTTGATATATGATTATATATTCATACTGAAATCAAAATCATTGTGTATTTTATGACCCCATTTTAAAAACTACATATTTGTACGCACAAGGCACGAAGGTTATTTCTGTGCAAGATACTGAGTTTTGAAACAAATCGATTCTCATCACAGAGAATGCAGAAAATTACCCAAGGATACATTATTGGATCAACATTTAGGGTACAAACCAAAACATGAATCATGCCTTCTCCTTTCCCTGCCAGGCAGTACCCTGCTCAGCTTTTCCTTCATTCCCCTGTAAAAGTCAGTGTGTCTTCCTGAGAGGTGTTTATCGTCTCGGCATAATGAAAAGCTTAAGAGAAAGTGAGGCAGCGGGAGTAAACACTCGTCAGGGCATTTTAAGCATCTCCTCATCATGAGCAGTGTTGTTTCGGCTCCCTTTTCCTCCGCCTTTCCCCCTGAATAATCAAGATGTTAAGCCACATTAAAAAATATAATGCCGTGTATGGCAGGACTATCAATACTGCCTCTAAATTAATTACATTTCCGTTGCGGCGCATCATTTATTTTGCAGCGTTAGGGCCTCGGTGGAGCCATTCGCCTTTATTGCTATCTCACTTGGTTGATGAGTGAGCTATGTAAAATTGAGTCTCCAATATCATTACACTTAATGAGTTTAAACTTTGAGAAAAAAAAAATAGGAAGAGAGAGAAACAGAAGAAGAGATGGAGCAGACAAGAGAGAAGGGGGGGGGTGAGAGAATGAAAGCTCGGCACTGTTTTGGGGAAGTTAATACAATATAAGAGTGGGTGTAAGTGTTTGTGAGCGCTTACAGAATGTTTGTGTTAGGGCACAGCTGTGGGTGTCCGAATGTGGTTTATTGCACCACTTGAGATGCCTGCGTATGCTTGTGTGTTTTGTGTTTGTGTCTGGTTGTGTGTTAGACTGCACTGCAAGCAAGTATGTTACATAAAAATACAACACGTACACATCTGTGTGTGTGTGTGTGTGTGTGTGTGTGTGTACGCTTGTATGCAGGAGGCCATGGGTTGTGCTAGTCTCTCTGTGACTGCGCTGCTGTTTTTGTTCAGTAATTGGCGTAGACAAAGAACCCGTCACACTGCTGTTACGGCTGGTTAAGTCTGGAGGTTCCGCATCTTTACTAACAATGACTCTACATGGATGACTGAACCCTCCTCTACCTCCCTCAGCTAGGGTGTGTGTGTGTATGTGTGTGTGTGTGTGTGTGTGAGAGCACGCCTAACCAAACACACAACAAGCAATCTATTTCTCTTAGCTAAAACAGCTATAATTTAGTAACTTTGTGTGTGTGTGTGTTTGTGTGTGTGTGTGTGTGTGTGTGTGTGTGTGTGTGTGTGTGTGTGTGTGCGTGTGCCAAAAACCGAACCATGGGCTGCACCATCCTGCATTTCTTCGCAACTATATTCATGAGTTTTCTTATTTGTATGCACAGATGTGTATTTGTGTGAGTACACCTGTGCATGTGTGTGTGTGTGTGTACCTGTGTGTTTTTGTGTTTGTGAGTGAACTCCTCTCTGTGTTCTTCAGTTCCCTCTTTGCTCGGGGCTACCGAGAGGCAGGTAGGAGACAGAGCGGTATTGGTGGTGTTATGGAGCGGGAGGGAGACAGGGGAGAAAGAGGAAGAAAAAAAAAAGGGGAAAGGGAGATAGGCAGATAGATAGGGGCCATGTAGGAAAAAAGAAGAACTGACAGCGAGGGAAACAGACAAACAAGCAGAAATAAGAGAAAAAGCCTTGCCTGCGTGCACACAAACATGTGCACACAAACAACAGGAATGATTTGTCGCCTCTTTTTGTTTGCATGTTTATCCTCCACCTCTATCCCTTCATCCCTCCCCCAACAGGTTCTCTTATCCTCTCGCTCTCTCTTCTCTCCTTCTGTTTTGCCCTCTCCCACCCCTCCCCGTTTTTATGCTTTCTCTTCCTTCTCTTGCTCATCTCTCCAGTACACTGTGCCTGGGGGCGATAGCAGCAAATCAAACTGTTTATCCATCTCTCATCAGTGCACTGCCTCACGGGGCTCCTGCCCCCTCAAAACAATGAAAGTAGGCCTGTGTGCTGAGCCAGGGATACGATTTAATTGCATCAATAAGGAGTTCTGGTTTAAAAAAAAAGATAAACTACAAAAAATACATTGCAGCAATACACTTTGCTGTACTATCATGAAAAGCCTGTTAACATTAAAAGAAAGAATTAAGTCTCACAGCTGTACCCGTCTAGAAATATAAGCATGTCTGTGTGTAGAGGCTGCTTATTGGAAGTATATTTCTTGGCAACTTAGTGGCTCCAGTTCATTGTAGGATAATTCTGTGATGGACTTTTATTAAAGCACGTAATAAACGGCCGGGTGTTGGGGAGAGGAGAGTCCTTTCACTTCATTTAGACTTCGTTCAGTCTTCGCTGCAGGGGCGGAGGGAAAGAGGAGGGATGGCAGCGGGAAGGGGCGGAGAGCGTCAGTGAAATTGCATTGTGATTATGAGTGTAATTGCAGCTCAGGGGCCCAGGGGCCATGTAGCTCTGATGGCGCTCGAAGATGTTTTATGCACAGCAACAGAAGGGAAGAAAGTGAGAAAGAGAGAAAGAGAGAGAGTGGGAGGGAGAGGCAGGCTGCCAGGATGTTTGCAATTTTTTTTTTCCTAAACACAGAATCTCCTCGTCTATCGCTTTCTCCTCCCTTCTTTTTCTCCTTTCTTCTTCTCCTCCCCCGAACATCCTCCTTCGCTCGTCTCTTCTCCTCTCCTATTCTCTTCTGTCCTCCTCTCTCCTGTCCTCCTCCCTTGGCAGGATTAGCTGGGTCTCGTTAGAGGGGAAATGTAATAATGCTCCCACCAGGTGGAATCGGGCCCGCTCCATTATCAGCCGGGAGATGGATGGGCCGTGTAGGGCCGGCGGGGGCCACGCGCGCACGCAATTTAGATTCAATAAACTGGCAAAGCAAGACCCCCAATCTGATTTATCTCTTACACGCCGCCAATGCTTGCTGCTACGATGCTGATTCCCTATTACCGCTCAGAGAAGGACTATTCATTGGATGTAAGGCACGGCAGTCAGAGAGGCTTGTCGGGCCCCCGGGACGGCAGCAAAACAGATACAGCAGAGGGTTAATACGTTTACACACAGATAAGCAATTAAATCTAAGGCTGAGGTGAGTTATAGAGTTATTAAGGAGGGACTGGGGTGGGGGAGAAGGGAGGGACAGAGGGTGAGAAAAAGAAGGAGAGAGATGTTATTCAATTCAAGAGTGTGGTAGCTTGGGCCTTAGGCTGGGTACAGTAAGTATTAGAAGTGGAAAAGGCTATCATATTATAGAGTTCATGAGGTGAGAGAACAACAGAAGAGCAGCAGTCTGCCCACGTCGTTCAATAAACTCAATACAACACTTACAAACTAGCATGCGAGACAGAACAGTTATACACTTAGTCTGCGTGCATTTGTGTGAGTTTATGAGTGACGGTATGTATGCTAGTGCATGTCTTCATTTCCAAAGGTAAGTGGGTATGTGTTGGCGTAATAGGCATATTCATATCCACTCTATACCTTGTTGCGAGTATGCAGAGCATCGCACTTGACTGTGTGAGTTTGTGCATGTGTGTGAGAGCTGCAGTGATGTCGGTTGTGTTGGTAGCGGTGGGTGTCATTCCGTCCAGCCGCCAATCAAAGTGAATTTGAATGTCAGCAGGAGAGGAGGCGTGATAAATCAGCCTCACACCCAACGACAAACAAAATATTAGAGGCAGCGCAGCGCCATTGGAAAAATGTCCCTTCCAATCAGCCGAGCACTTTACAGTGAAGCTCGGCAGCCGGGCCTCCAACCAACGCTGAATACCAGAGAGACAGATAAGACAATAAATAAATAAATAACAGACAGACAGACAGGCTGGAAGACAGGCAGACAGACAAACAGACATGTAGGCACAATGAGGGCCTCCAACCCTGACTGGCAGAAAGACAGAAAAAAGAAACAATAAATAAATAAATAACAGACAGACAGACAGGCTGGAAGACAGGCAGACAGACAAACAGACATGTAGGCACAATGAGGAAAAACGGTCCTGACAGGCAGAAAGACGAGACAAAGAAACATAAGAACAAAACGGGGCAGGAGGACAGACAGGTAGGCACACTAACCGATGTACAACAGGGCTGACAGGCAAGGACACAAGACAGACGGACAGACAGGTGGGAAGACAGGCAGGAAACTGCTATCCAGACAGACTGACAACTGGAGAGTCATGCAGAACAACACATTGTTGTAGCAACAACAATATCAAAATGTATAAGTAAGTGCCATGGTCCATTCTATAAAGGAATACAGTGTAGTGAGGTTTATCAGGCCCAACAACATACAGACGTCTTCATGACCAATTTTAATATTAAGTAACTGATAAATAATTTAAATAGCCATATGTCATTTGGTGCTTTTGTTGCATGTAACTTCAAAATAAGTGAAGAAGTCAAATCATCTACACGTTGGTCAAAAATGTTACAATTTGATTATTCTTCCAATAATGTTCAGTTCTACTGGACAAGTATACAAAAAGAGAAGACATAAACATCATGCAACTTTGGTCCACTTATAACAGCTCCACCGCACTATCATTTTTTTCCCCATCTGTCAAAGAGTTCAAGGATGGTCTGGGATTGCAAATCAGTAATTTGAGAAATACAGTGTTTGTGTTACAAAATGTACAGTTTACGTTAAGGAGTTACTGAGGCTTAGCTTCTACTGTGGGATACGCGAAGGACACTGTTGCCACTTTACTGTGTGTAAACAGAACAGACCATACTGACAAAGAGAGACACAGCAATACACTGTTAAGTGGGAGAGGCTTACTAATCT